TTCAACCAACCTGTTGATTGTTGTATTTTGGAAACTTGTCCATTTCAGACCTTTTAGCTATGTGACATCCATTATCCGTGAAAGTTTGGACATAATGAGTGGAGCCATTCCCGAAATATTCAACAAACTTGAAGTGTAAAAAGTGAACCTGAAAAATTTCAATTTTTTCAAAAAAGATCGGTCCAAATTTTAGGGTGCTGAAAATCGCTCATAGTGAAAATGCGTTTTTCACTGATTTGATAGTACCTTCAGTAAAATTGATATAAATACGGAACGGCTCAATATTTTTTCAATTGGCTTGTATCAAAATGCTTCAAACGCTTTCCTCTATCGCGTAGATGCAAATTAGTCGAATCTGAGAAGTTCAATTGAGCACCCTAGATCGTAGGTTACGTGAAATGGCTCGTATGTGTTCAAACGCGTTAGAAAAAACCAAAAAAGTTATGAACAGGTATAAAAGGAATGTATATTTGACGGTATATTAATAAAATTTGAAGTAGGTAATTTTCTCGGAGTAGTTCTAAGTAGCTCAAAGTTACTGGAAGTAGGCTAAAGTAGCTCAAAGTATGCAGAAAAAACTTGAATAGTAGTTAGAGGTACATGAAAAGTAGCAAGTAGTAACTTCAAGTACAAAAGTCCGCTGTTTCTCCCTTGAGAAAAGAACAGAAATGTACGCTGTCATGTAGAAGGAGAGAAACGTGTGCACTGTCATGCGGAACGAGATTTAAAAAGTGCACTGTCATGCAGAATGAGAGAGAAAATGTGCACTGTCATGCGGAACGAGAGAAAAAAGGAATAATTGTATGAAGAAATTAGGTGAACTATTAAGAAACGAAAGAAAAAAAATAACGGTACAATATACTGTGCCATTTTTTTATGATATCAATTCGTTCTGTGACACAGATCCATTTTTAAAAGGAACCATTCATGTCGATCTACCCACCATCCGATGCGACGACGTGCTTGAAAAAAATGACCGAGATGATCGTTGGTCTTTTATAAAATTCGTCCAAAACTAAGCTGTAATTATAAAAAAATGAGGACCCAAGATCAGTCAAATACAAGGTTCTTAGTCTTCTTTCAATATACTTTTTAATTCAAATTCTAACAGCAGTGTTTAAACTTCCGAATAACTAAATTTCTCAACTGAAATAGAAATTTCGAACTCCCAATTTCAACATACTACACATTGATACATCCTATACGGTAATTTCCGAACACCCCAACCAACACAACGTAAATTGCATCATGAAATTTCACAAACTAACCGAATCATTTTCATAAGCGGACAAAGATTGAACAGAAAATTTCGAAACATCTTGATATTTCCTAAAATTTCCTATCCTCCCTGTGACGTTCTATTATGAGTGTTCATACATCACTTTATCTTCTGACTTTTCCTCTTCAACATATATATTGCCGTTCATGTGTTTATAACTAAGATTAGCTTGTTGCTTATTCTGTTGACCGGAACATATATCATCCTCCACGAATATCTTTTCTGTTATTCTCATCTTTCTATTGTTATGTCTATCTTTTCCCTTTCTCTCTCTCTCTCTCTTGGCTGCGTATATAAACGCGTGTTGTGGATGTAAACGAGGCGATTTGTGATATGAAGAAGCTAAATAAAGCGTAGTTCCATCAGCGCAAGCATCTCTTGTATCTAAAATCGTCACACTCCCCACACAAACAACGCAATTCAATCAATTCCAATAGAATCGATCAAACCGAAATCTTTCGTAATGGCCAGATAATTCCATATATTTGTTCAAACCATCTAGCTATTTCACAAATTAAGCCTACTCTAAAAAAAAAAGGTGTCATACTGAACCATTTATGGTTCTAGCGACGGTCTAGAACCTTTTAAGTTTCTCGATTTGGGTACCATTTTCAGAACCTTTTTTCAAGGTTCTAGCCAAAAAGCTCGAACCTTTTAAGGTTCCGCATTTCTGTCTAAAACCAATTCAAGTTCCAGACTTTTTGGCTAGAACTTTAAAAAGGTTCTGAAAATGGTATCGAGTAAAGGGGAGCCCACCCTAGCCAAATCAGGAATTTCGCGAAAATACTGGTTAATTCCGTAATTACTATCTATCTTCGGAAATTACGCACATCGCAGAGTAAAAAAAATTGGTAACGGTTTATCGGAGAAATAAGATGGCTCTGGGACCAAAAAAGGATAAAACGTTTGGGAACATCTTTATAGTATTGAGGAAGGGAAGATGCATAGAGGATAGTAAAACGGTTTTTAGAGACGTTGTGAGAAGAAGCTTTCTTGCTTAGAGTTTTCACTTTTTTCTTCGGTTTTTGGATTGAAACCAATTCTGCGGATAGTCTAAGATGGGTTGGTTTTAAGGAAGGTTAGTTATGGATTAAGTGTCACTCATTGCTGTTCTTCTGCTCGATCAGGAAACATTCAGCGAAGAAGAAAGGATGAATTTTTAGAGGAGGTTCTGGTTAAACGATTTATAGAGATAAGATTAGAATGAATTGAAAAATCAGATTGTGGTCGTTTCCACTCCAATGACGTTAGATTCTATTTCGATTCATTTCGTGAAAATAAGAATGATTAACTGGGTCATTTCTTTCGAATGAAGCGAGTCAGCCGGAAACGTGAGAGACATCAGTCGCTGCTTCTGAAATGGCTCGAATTTTTAGATGAGCGAAATTAGGTATGTGATTGATTGTTAAATGTTTTTGATGGTCCCTGCCTTTCGCTCTTTCACCTTGTCCCAAATATCTTCTTGTTTTTCTTTGCCTACTTCCTTTTTTTGCTTATTCTCATGTTTAGCTTCATTTTATTCCTTTTTTATTTTACTTGTTCGCGGTATGTCCTTGTACAATTCTACAGATCATAGGCTGTGGGAAGCGTGGTATCTTATGATTGTATTGTGCTCTCTTCTGCATGTTTAATAGCACATTGAGTGATTATCAAACTGCTGCAAATTCTTGCGGCAAATCTCATAAGCACTTCGTAGTGTTAGAATAAATAGTGAAATTCAAATAAAAGACGCCGGCACCTGATGATAGCGGAGAAAAGTTTGGAATTATAAAGTTGTAAATGAGAGTACTCATATCACTATCGGTATGTACCTATTTTGACTTATATTTTCAATAGAGGTTACAAAAATAGCATCGACTTCATCATGGAGATAGGGAAAGATGTAAGTTTACGGAAATGGATACGGTTATGTACACTCTAAAAAAAGTTATTCTACGAAACTTATAAAGGATCTTCCGCCGGGCACACGGGAAGATCCTTTGGAGGTTCCGGAAAAACACGGATTTGGCACCGAGCCATTTCGCAACCTATAAAAAAAGGTTTCGTACCAAAGGTTTCGTGCTATACCCTTTCGATCAACACACAAAAAGTTCCGCAGATGAAGTTCAGTACAAAGCCTTACCATGGTACATTAAAAGCACCTTTTACAAATCTAAAATTATCCTGCAAAACGATTAAAACCAAACCCAAGAAATTCAACCAGAACTTCCTACAGGTTTCTCTGCTTTAGATACCATCGAAGCCGAATTTCACAATACACCAAACATGATTCATTTTGGATTCCGTATAATCTACAATGAGAGATAAAAACAATTAATCTTTCTTCATGAAATTCAGCTTACCTATTCATTACCACTTCCGAGTCAAACACCAAGTGTGACTACAGCAATTTAATATTGAGTAATTCAATACAACGTAATAACTTTAACACTCTCCCCTTCCCGTGAATATACCATGCAGGAACCATCATTCAATGCACCGTTCCACGCAATTAATAATCCTACGATGCTTCACATATCGATTTAAACATTGTATTAGGACAATCAAATTCATCTAAAATAGAAAAAAATTCACTTAGGTAGGTTTATTTTCATTGAAATAAACATACCTTATCATGGAGACAATCGATTTGATCCAAAATAGAAAACAAATTCATTCCGTTAGGTTCATTTGTATTTCAATGATTTTACCTTATTTGATAAGAATCAAATTATTGTACAATAGGATATGGTGATTGGGTGAACTGGATGTGCATTTCTGCGGTGTGGGTGTGGGTGTGGGTGTGGGTGTGGATGATTGTGATAGAAGAGATTACCCACAACCACACTCACACCCACTGCCACACCGAAACCCACACGCACACCCACACCCACACCACATACAATATTCTATTTAGAACTACTCCTTCAATACTCATGCATAACAAATCTATCCACATATATATTTATTTATTATCCATTTTCGATTTACGTAGCGTAAAAGTGAGACACATCTTGGCTAAACGATTCTCGATTAAAGTTAATTCTACTTGGAAAATAAATGTGCAAATGTCTTTTTAAATAAATTTTAATGATTATATTGAAATAGTAATTCAAGTGTGATTATCCAACTAATATTCCGAATTACTTATCTAGTAGATATAATCTTAAGAAATACCACCTGATGAAGTCCCGTGTCAGGACAGAAACAACCGTTGTCATGGATCGCCGAATTATTCTAAACTCATGCCCTCACTGCACCCCAAACCCTCACCAACAACCTCACCCACACGCTCATTCTCAAGATATTCATGAACTCCTATATCGATTATAAAATCTTTGCAGGATTAAATGTTGCAGGTTTTTATGCGTAATTACCTTTGTGCTATCCTTTATCGAAAATAATCAGGAAGTTTGAGTTCTCCAAAAAATTCTATCGACATATATAATCTATTGTTTATGTAGTTGGAAATTCTAAATATGCCTGGTGATGATTGGGATTAGCTCCAGTCGAAACGCGTCGTATCAAGCTTTGAATTTGCTTTGAAAAATTTATTGAGAATATAACACACCCTCACCCTCACCCTACTTTGACGAATAATTCTTGGAGACGAAATTCGTCTGCTCTTACTTTGTTTGACGTGTTTCAGAATGCTTTTTTTAATTGGTAATAATAGCATTGTCATGGAAAAGAGTGCATTTTGAAAAATTTTATGGGATACTACTTTCTTTGTTATACATTGCTAAATACGAAATTTCTTCAGCGCTTCGTATATAGGCATGTAAATCTTGATTGTATCGCGTACCACATTAGGATATGGAATATATTCATGCTGGATTTCTTTCAACTCAGTAGAACTTTGAATTGCATCATTAAAACCCTGCGAATCCTTCAACTCCTCCAGAGTCAGTGGTTTCCAATGTAGCATTTTTGGGTCAAACTCTTCTTGTATTCCGTCGCAGTACTTTATCATCATAGACTTTGGATCTCGCAGAAGATCATCCGATTCAATGAGTAAAGGACGAGAACCATTGTTGGTATTGGTCAAAAATTCATACATGATTTGCAATTGCCAATAGCCAGCCTCGGTCGTATCAAAATGGTCGTAGCCAGGGCATTGCCCGCTTGAATAACAACGATAATACGACGGTATAGACTTCTCTGGTGTACGTATAAGGAACGTATGCGTGCACGCTTTAATGAAGTGCAGCGGCAATAGTGTGGGATTGTCGGGATGCAATAGATAGTCGGGTCTGATTATGTGTTTCGGCATGTCCTTGATAAAAATCTTTTTTCCACTGGTTTCCATTTTCAGAATTTTTTCAACGGTGTTAGCAAATGTTTCCTTGCCGTATTTGTCTTGATCACAATATTTTTCGCTATAACGGTTTGACAAGCGCTCAGGACCAAAGAAGTGCGAATATTCAAAAGGTTCATCCTCGACAATAAAATCTTCTCGCTGTATAAAAGTGCGTAGGAAAGCGGTTGATGTCGACCTAGGATGGCACCATAAAAATATAATCTTTTTCTCGTCCATTGTCGATGAAGTGAAGTTGGTAGTTGACATGAAAGCTAGACTAAGTGACAAAAAGAAATAGGCATATTTCATTATCAAACGATCACTGGCATCCCGCACTTCTAGTTTTCGTCCTCAGGAAGAAAAATAATGAAAGACCCTCTAATTGTAAGAGGGCATGCTAAATTCCTATTTCCAGGAAATTCGAAATACACTGTATACTAAAATTAATTTTTAACGTAGATGACGATATGTATACAAACGATGTTAATCTCGTAGATTTCTGTGAAACCATAACATATATATTATTAGCTATTGTATGATTCGTTTATATATCAGTATCAATTCTAATTATACATATATATATATATATGGCTATGTATAAGTAGTATTTAGATTTGGTGGTTTCGGTTGCGATGGGTTGGGTTGGATTAGGTTGGATTGGGGTGAGTTGAGTAAGAATGGGTTGGGGTGGGATAATTAATAATAAATATATCGGTATCAAATACGTACTTTGTATATATATATATATAAGCTATCTACTTTCAGCTTCAACTGATTGAATTAGATCAGACAGGATACCGAGGCATTTGATCATAAATCTGTCACCCCTCTAGTTATGGATCTGAATAACCTAAAAAGATAGAGCTTGCAATTCGACACATTTCTGTATATTATCTTTGTTTTTAATTGAATGGCAAAAACGTTTTTGCAATTGAACCAGTCTGTGGGTAAATATCACTTTTGATCATTTTGGGCGACATGTATGAGACTCATACTTTGCATGATACCATAAATATTTTGCCTTTGTACTCAATACGAAAACTAATCGCGTAGATCGGCGCACTTTTCACGTTCTACAAAATGATGCAATGCTAGGTTTATCATTATTTTTTCTACCAGATACTGTAGGGCCAAGCATGTCAAATAGGTTCTATTCACATATTACATAGTCATATTTTTCATTTTCTGGGATGTTGTTGTATTTAGGGATGTGCAGTGTCGGTTTACTGAGCACTGACTACACCGGCAGTGTGCTCAATGGGGTGGTACTGACTACACTGTCACCGATGTCACTGGCACACTGATTTCACTGACACCGGCTTCGCTGAGAACACCGAAAATATTCAGGCAGTGCTCACTGAAGCACTGAAGTTCGGTTCACTGACCGCACCGATATCGGTGTTCACTGGAACACTGGCACACAGACAACGTTTGGCTAGCTAAAGTAATATGAAATACTTTCATCTTCTGTTGACGAATCCAACACGGTCAAATATTTAAAATAAAATTTGCCGATTTTCATATGAAATGATCTAAGCTCCTTCACTGTGCAGAATAAATGATTATATTTAATTAAAATTTTAGTATCTTTACATAAGATTATGATGTCCTTGACAAAAATAGAGGTGCGTATCACACTATCATCTATTGTAAACCACCATTTGAATTGGCAAAGCTGTATACTTTGACGGACGCTGTGGCTCAGTGTTCCACTGAACACCGATGTCGGTTCGATCAGTGAACCGAACCTCAGTGCTTCACTGACCTTCAGTGCTTCAGTGAGCACTGACAGAATATTTTTTGAGGGTGTGGGTGGGTGGGCGCGGATTAGTGTAGAACAAAAATACTCACACCCACATCCACAGTAATAACCATGTCGGTAAATGGCGTTTTCTTCTGAATTTCTGATTCGTTTCATCTCACCATTTTTATACTCTATTTAGTTGATTGCCGGTTATTCTTTCTCTTTTCTCCTTGTTCCTTCTTCATCATTTTATATTTCTACTCGTCATTTAGTATAATTAATAGAAGCTTTGAAGGAACTGCTTGCATCTGGTTATGTTTTCTGTACTAGTGCAGCTGAAATTGGTCATGTAATAGCGATCGAAATAGCGCTTTCGCAATAAAGAAAAGTTACCTAAAATAAAATAATATAAACAAAAAAAACGTGCTTAGTAATATTTAAGCGATGAAGATATTGAAATATGTTTACAAGTATTGATGATATGATGGTCATATCAAACAAGACAATTTTCAGCAGGATACTCAATAGAAAACATTTCAAATAATGTCTTAGTTTAATCATACTTACAAAATATGATCACATAAAACACAAGTCAACTAAAGAATAAAAAAATGTTTGTTTTAAAAGAGTATGCATAAAATCGCTCTTGCGTAAACTATGGATGCATGCGCAGAAACGAAGTACGAAAAACACACATGTATTTTTCTGCCTAATTTATCCTGTTTGCAACGTGAAGAAATATTAATGTGTTACGCTTGCACAGGTAGTCTGAATATATCTTTTCATATATATGCCCATAAAAAAAGCTTGTCAGCGCAGCCCCGTTGGGGCTAAAATGTGGAACTCACATATTTCGGTTACTTACATGGATGAATTGCAAAATTATTGTACCGTTTTGAGAGAAAAATCGACGAAAAAAAAATTTCCGATTTTAGAAATTCCGAGTATTACATCTTAGTCCGCTATATGAGAGAAGACTATGTATAAATTTTCCCAACTACCACTCTTAAATTAGTCGAGCTACAATAGTTTTTAAAAAATACATGATAACAACACAAATGTGAGTT